TTGATGTTTTCATCTTCTCCTTGATTGTTGAGGTTAGGAACTTAGATTAGAACTTTTAGTTCCAAGTCGAGAAAATGCAGATTGTCTTTGAGATGACTTTTGGGGAGCTTGTGTATTATTATCAATTTGGGTAGAAGAAGAAGGATCCTCAATTAACCTTTGGAAGACGGAAGTTTTACCTTTTAACCAGTTCGAGCCCCCCTCAGGGCTACTGAAGTGAGTACCCGACCGTAAACTTTAGGGCCTTGTGGGATTAGTCGAGGTGCGCGCAAGTTGGCCCTGACACCCACGGTTATTAAAAAAAAAAAAAAAGCCTTGTTTAGTTTTTAGAAACTGAAGTCAGCAGGGTAAGTGGCATTGTTGGGAAAAATTATGAAAAGTTACAGAAATTATGTTTTGACATCTTGGACTTAAGGCAATGCAACCAGCTTCTGACAAAAATTATTGCTTTTGAATGGAAAATATTGTAATTTCAATTTAGAAAACCCATTTCCACACCCACTAGTTTGCAGTTTTTATGCCTAAAATGAATTGACCATGGCCCTTTGTTTGGTTGGTTGTCAAATTAGAATTTACAAATCAATGAGGTAACCAAACAGCATAGAAAATATGATTTTTGGCAAAATTGTTTCCAGAGAACTCTTCATAGTGGACTCGTGAGTTTATTTAGTTGTCATTGATCAGTAGAATGGAACATACAAATTTCAGGATTTTAACATGCTTGCAATCAATTTATCTGATAAATTTTTCATAAATAGGTTGATTTTTGTTGTACTTTTCATGATTATAGACATTGCTGAAGTTGGATCTTTGGTATATGGAGTATGCAAGTAGAGATTTCCTTTAGCATGCAGTTTATTTCCTTGCATTCAAGCCTGTTATAATTTATTAGCTGAACATTTCATTTCAAGCCTGTTATTATTTACTTCAACCTATTCATAGTTCTTTGTAGTTTTAGCACTAGGGCATTATTGCTTCTTAAGTTCATTCGGCAATAATTGCCTTATTTTTGCTTGAGTTTAATCATATTCGCACGTAATACTTTTCAATAAGCATGTTAGAATGTACTTCTGTATTGAAGTGTCTTAAGGATACAAGTGGGCAGTATCTAAGCAGGTATCAGGTTAGAATATTCTTAGTTACGCCTTCTTATGGCATAACTAAGAATAGGCAGTCTGTGGTTTCTTCTTGTGTTTTGCCTTTCTTTATTTTGCACCGGCCTGTTACTTCGCGTGACTTTAGTGCCCACTATATTTCTCATCTGTTGGATGAACAGAAAAACTTGGCCGAGGAAGTTGGAGCCCAAGGGTTCAACCCGGGATTGATAGTTTTACTTCTCATTGGTGGGCTACTTTTGGCATTCCTTGTTGGAAATTACGCACTTTATCTGTATGCCCAAAAAAGCCTCCCTCCGAAGAAAAAGAAACCAGTCTCCAAGAAGAAAATGAAGAGGGAACGACTGAAGCAAGGCGTTTCAGCACCGGGAGAATAAATTCAAAACTGGGGCTCCCCCCCCCCACCCTGCCTTTCGTGTTGAGCATTGCACTGATTTAGAACTCCCATGTCAGTTAAAACTTAGTAGCTGAAAACATATCGTGCTGTTTTGCTAGCTAGCTTACGAGAAAGCGCTGTCTTTATTTTTAATTTTTATGCTACTTGATAGATTGTAACAATATGACTCAATTAAATTGTTGGTTATATGATGATTTGGTGGTAAAAGATCTTATTTCAAATAGGCAGAGGCAGAGTTGGAATAAATGGATGGTCAGGAAAAATGTTTATGAAGCTGAGGAATAAGGCTTTTGATTTCACCGTCACATAAACGGATTATATTACAAATATGGTCCAGATCCAGACGGTTAAACCTTAGATCGGCTTTCTTTAAAAGTTCCTTCCAGTCCAAAAACGTACTTGTAGAAAATTCATTCGAACATATTATTCAAATATTCCCATACATGCACAAGTATCTTCAGAGGTAACTTTACATGTTTTAAACAAAGACAATACAGTATTAACATTTTCACTTGGCAAAGTAACTGACTAAAGTATGAATGCATTACGCATTTCAACACGAGTTCAAATAAATAGTATCAAAACGATACGAATCTGCACTCCGTGTACACCCAGGCATAATTATGTTACACCCCATGACCCATGGCCTGTTCCCCAGGCGGAATCATGACCAAGACTGGTTGAGCATTAAATCCGGGATGAGGAAGCCTGCGACGAACCTCACGACCTTCCTGGCAAAGGGCACATGCATGGCAGAACACATGAGTTGCAAAATCACAGGCAGATTCGAATTGCTCACGTTGAACCTCATTCTCCATAAAGCTTCCACAACATCCACAGGATCTGGCAAGCGCCTCACAATTTCCCTGTTCAGTTGACAGACCAAACAGATGTTAATCCCTTCGTAAGGTTCTTCCAATGGAAAATGAAAAACACAAAAAGTGGTTTCCAATCTAATAGCTTATAAGTTTAGCCATGGTTTTCAAGTGAATCAATTACAGTTCGAACAACATGCAAGGTTCACATAAAGATTTACATCGAGCAGTGTATTAAAAGAAAAGAAATCCTTAAAAGCAAATTGTAATCCGTAAAAGTCCCAAGTTAGATACTTTAATGTTTTTCTATTAGATAACATAGCAACAAATGTAGGTCACCATGAAAAAATAACTATATCATAGCATCCGTAATGTCCCATATTGATACTTTGAAATCTTTCTCCCTTTTCATGCTTCGGACTTTCGGGGTCAATCATAACATCTCTTACACTTCTACAAGGTGGATTATAGCAGTACATTGCACACGGCAGAGTTGCTAGAAAATTTTACAGAAAGACTAACCTCTAGGTTAAACTTCCTGCGAATGGCAGAACGAACGGGAAAAGAAAACCAGGGTGCGAGGCAGTTCCAGCCAACAAAAGAATTCCCAAGCAAATAAAGAGCAGTGTATGGCAAGCAGTGATTACTAAAAGTACCAGGAGTGTATCCAACTCTCTCGACATTGCTTCCATAGAGCACGCAAGGGGCCATACTACCCAATAAACCTGCTCACTATCATAGTCATCAAACAGAAACAATGCACCACGAGAAACATAGGAATTTACAGTTAAATCTTAAGCCCAAAACAAATTCTAAATGAAAGAATTTAAACATAAGACAATTAATGATTGAAATTGAACGAGTAAAAAGAAAGATATGCAACATGCTGCGACTGAAAATATATTTCAAAAAATGCAGTGCAGAATCAACAGCTTCCAAAAGAAAGATCATTCATGAATTCCAATAAAATGGGAAAGGGGTACCCCAACAAAGGGAGTCGCATTGACCATGTAGCAGGCAAATCATCCTCTCGGACTAGCTACTAGCTACTGATCATTGCCTTGGT